CTGCAATCGTATGGTCATTTCAAATGGCTCGTTCAATGGCAACCACACAATTATCTGGATTCATTCAATTGTTCTGATTTTAGCTAGTGACAAAAACGTCAGCGGCACCAAGGACCCTGGAATTAATTACCATACTGCATGTTTTATTCTGAATGCTTTTGAATCATTACTTCTTAGGAATGACGTTACATATGTCATCTACCGAATAATCTAATTTTCAAAAATAATCCAAGCGGGTTTAACTACTTTACTGGATGGTTTTCTGTACTTGACATGTATATATTTTCCAGTTGCTTTTGTCACATGTGTCAGTAGGCTAAATGCAGAAACTTATTGAAAGTGTACAAAGAGTCACACCTCTACCTAATGTTCCATAAGTTTTCTTAGCTTTAAAACTTTTCCCAGACATGTTTACTATTTTTAAATTGTCACGCCTCACCAACTTGCATGTTAACCTGGTCCGTACATGCGTTGAACTATTTCTCGGTGTCTTTTAAATTGAAAAGTCATTTGAATCGCCTGTAACATCTTCAATAAACCCATCATAGTCATTATTGCTATACGTCTTTAGGTTTATGAATTGGTCTATCATATTAGTAGCCTAAAAACACGAACATAATTTAGATAATAATGTCACCGAATTTAAGTGCTATCATAATGCACTAGCATAATAACTAAACTGTCAGGTAGTTGTTGGCCAAGCAAATATTTAGAATTAAAACTCCTGAGCCTAATACTAAAATTAACATTATGTAAAACGAATGTTTTCAAATTGTGATTTGTAATATAATTAGGTAGCTCGCATTCTTTAACGCGAAAAACTTCTGCTATTTCAGAAGCACATAAAACAACAATACCTATTTTCAACTGGCTACTCATCTACCAACACTATAACTAGTTAAAAACAATGGTTTCAGGATATCTTCATAAAGCATTGTCATGACTTGACGATCACGTATTATGACTGATAACATTGAAAACTAACAAAATCAGTCAACAAACTGACTTGTAGTTATGTAGTGGCATTGAGCCCTAACACGAGACAAAATGGAAAATAGACATTCAACATTTAACGCTGGGACATACCCAACAATGGAGAAGGCGGGAATAAGGAATTGAATTAATATGAGTTAATCTTATGGCATGGCTCGACCATGCAGGCGTGGTCCCTCCTGCTAAATGCTACGTTATGTCTTTTATTCACATTAAATATATTGTTCCATCTCTAGCCTAAGCTTGTTCTCTATCACGTATTGTTAATTGTTACAATGCGATGAATTGGTGTAGATGATGACGTGACTTCCACGTAAGATCCTATAGATTAGGCAGTTACATCATGATAAATCTACAATTTTAGGATTAGGTCTATTATTAGAGCAGTGCTAATATCTTAGTAGACCATAATTCTACAGTTATCATTAGATAGTGCTGCTTTCTCGGTATCTTCATCCATTACAGATGATTTCAGTATGTTTCTCTATCAGTTGCTCATTCAATAAATATCTCAAAACCTTGTCAGTCTGATCGGAGGTTTAGCGACACAATCATGCATGCAAATGATCAGTATTAGCAGTCGAGCAAATCTCCTGCAAACTGCAAACATCAATGTCAAATTTACCCCAACACTGACTAGGGTTCAAGTCATTATCATAGACATGAGTTGGAAGTGTACTCCCATGGTAATCACATGAGCATCACTCACTGTTGATCATCTTGTAAAGAATTATTTGGCCAAAGTCACCTCGCAGCACTACATCACACACAACTTATAATCACTATATCTCAATCAAATCGTATTCCGCCTCATGCTAAACTGCATACTTGCAAATAACTTGTATGCACCATCAGCCGGTAGGTATAAATATAAATAAATAGTCTATGGCGAGTCAGAACACGGAGTCCAGAGCATGTCTCTTACGAATACACTCATGTTTAACGAATCGCTCTTAGCGATCTTTCGAAAATCCACATGATTATCACTTTTCACATATTCAAAAACTTTTCTTTTTGATAACCATTCATATATGTTAGTGGTATTACTAAATTCTATCACGGTCAAGTAAAATGAGGTCGAGAAAATCTCCCCATAAATAAATAAACCGTATCAAACTAACTGGAACACTAGTTGGAATTCTTCTCCACGGTTATACTTTTGTTCTTTCAGTTAGCCTACTAATGCAGATGCAATTGGAAATCAACACATGGATAAATTTCTGATATAAACGTTATTTTATTTCATAATTTGAACTAAATATAATACCAGTTTTAACATTTCTACAATATTGACTGTTTTCAATATTTCTAAACAGGAAATGTTATTAACCTACGGCTATTACTACGTACCTTACGGCGACTTATTAAAATATCCTGATACGGAGTCATTTCGTTATAATTATAAACCCACTTTGTTTAGCTCATATAATCTCCGCCCAACTTTTCATTTCGAGCGTGTTAAGCATTAAACCAGACACTTTAAAATTAATACGTGTGTTTCCCGACCAGATGCTGCCACCTTCTTTTTGATTTATTTTTCAGTTCATCAATACCCGGATGATTCTTATTATTCTTGCTAACCTTCGGCGTGCGACAATCCAGCACAATTCGGTATCGAACCAACGTCACGTTGATTGTGGTGGGAGAGTAGTGTGGTGGCATTGGTCCCTACCACGAGACAATGTGAGAAATAGACATTAAACATTTAACGCGGAGAAATACAGATGAATGGAGAAGGCGGGGAGAATTAATTGAATTAATACGAGTTGGTCAGATGGCATGGCTCAGCCTTGCAGGCGTGGTCCCAGCTGAATGTTATCTTGTATCTTCTATTCATATTAAATATATTCTATCTCTAGCCTAAACTTATTCTGTATCACGTATTGGTAATTGTTACAATGCAATGAATTGGTGTAGATGATGACGTGACTTTCACGTAAGATCCTATAGATTAGGCAGTTACATCATGATAAATCTACAATTTTGAGATTAAGTCTATTTTTAGAGCAGTGCTAATATCATAGTAGACCATAATTCTACAGGACCTTTACCAGATTCAAATGGATATTCTTATCTTTTAACCTGCGTAGACCGTTTTACTCGATGGCCAGAAGCAGTACCCATCAAGAACATTACTGCTGAAACAGTAGCTCGCGCCTTCGTCGAACGATGGTTAGCAAACTACGGCTACCCAACAACAATCATTACAGATCGTTTACGTCAGTTCGAATCTGAAATTTTCCGTTGTCTAACCGCAATATTAGGAATCACTCGTTTCCGAACGACGTAATATCACCCACAAACAAACGGGTTGGTAGATTACTTTCACCGACAACTAATAGCTTCACTATCAACCGCAAACATTTCTCAGTAGACTGAAGCTCTTCCACTCGTCTTACTAGGTATTCGCAATGCAGTGAAAGCTAACATTGGATACATTGCTTCTCAACTCGTTTATGGTACGATCCTTTGACTTCCAGGAGAATTCATGGATTCTTCATCCTCTTCGATGAATATGGATCTAATCTCCTACGCGAACAGGCTTACAAACGCAATGCGTTCAGTTAAACCTGTTTTCACTCGATCGCAATCAACTGATATTTTCGTTCAACCTGACTTACAATATAGTACACACGTCTTCATACGTCGAGCCTCACATCGACGGCCATTCGAGCCAACATACAAAGGACCTTTCAAAGTTCTTCAACGCGAACCCAAGTACTATATAATCGATAAGAACGGAACCAACGACAGCATCAGCATCGATCGCCTCAAAGCAGCGTATTTAGAAGGAAATCCTATCCACGTCGATTTTCCTTCAGTACAGTCGCACGACACGACTCCCACACCTATAATACCTCAACAGAAAGCCTAGACGCATGTTGATACTTCTGCTGTATCAGAAAATAAATTTAAAACAACGCGTTCTGGAAGAAGAGTAATATTTGCAGAACATTTGAACGATTACTGCACGCAAGATACAAGTTTACATTTTATGCCGTCTCGATTTTCCCTTGTACTATATATAACTAAAAAAAACTTAAATCTAATATGCTTATATAGTTACATTTTCATTTCAAGAAAATAAAATAGCAAAAAACCATATAATAAAAATGCTTTTTTTACTCCATTACGTGAACATGAGTTTATTTTCTATTTTTTCACCAGTTTTATGATTTTACGCGCGTACGAGTGTTTTTTGACATGCACCTACATACCTTTTTTTCTTTTCCAGGACGGCTGGAAAAGAATGATGAAGTTTACGAGGAACCGAAAGTTTCATTGTACTTTTTCTTTTTTTACCATATTGTACTTCATAGTCCCTTATAGTAAGGAAAGACGACCAGATGCTGCTAAACCTAGCAAGCTATCAGAAGAGTGTTTATGAACGACAAACTCGTTGGGTTTAAACTTCTGACTAGCCACGTCTTAGGGTTATCACTACTCCACTAGATGGGGAGTGGCCTATAGCGGTAAAGAAATCCCCAAAATAAATAGCTCTGTAAGTTTTCGACATTGGATGCTGACCACATTAATTTCAATGAACTCATCTAGCCGAAGGCGCTCGGTCATGCATCCGCACCAAATCACGTGTGGGAAAGCCGTGCTCAACACCTACTGCAATCGCTAGCCAGATTAGATCAGACGATCCTCGATATATTGGTAGCCTATCAAATATATCTTCGAACCTCCTCACTTCTGTCCTTCGATTTCACTTGGCGGGTACGCTTCATATAAGAAGGTGTTACTGGTTAAAGCGTTGCCAAACTCCGAATACATGTGGCATCTACAAATCCATCAATCAGTAGTCTTAAATCAAAGTTCGTTTCTACCTTACCGTTGGACTGTTACTCGTCGGACACTACTAAATACTTGAAAACGTATTGAAACAACAATAAGCGAGCTCAAAGTAACCTATTCGCATGTATATGCTTGCGACAAAGATATTGAGTTTTGTAAATACCGTCCATTCGTTAGTTTGACCACATAGTTTTTCTTGTCGTTCTGAACTACTGAGACAGCGCCCACTTCAAATAAGCGTGCTTGTAGTGAGTTAAACTATCTGTTCCTAGTTGCAATCTCAAGATTTTCCTAATTTGAGGGTTGCTTTATCACCCATTGTCTATTGCCTTCCTCGATATGTGTAAGTAAAGTGTATGCAAATCCCGGTTCCTTGACTTACTTGTTTTTGTCCTTTTTCCCAGCACCTTTTTTCTGCATCCTCCCCCAAAACACAAATTACCCTCTGCATAGAAGCAAAGCTACACGTTTTCTTTACACGGTTGTTTAACAGTCACTTCTAGAGCTTTTGCTATCTTATTATGCGCGCTTGGATTACGGTTCACATGTGTAGTAAGCTGATCACTGTTGTTTGAAAATATTACAGCTTTCCTGTCGATTATAATCAGCTTACAGTAGATTTCGAATTGATATAAACACCTGTCTGTTGGAAATCTCTTAGGATCATAAGAGTACCTCTGACAGGATATTTTTGCATTATCCTGGTTGGACTACACCTAAATACAAGGCGATTGGTCAACTAAAATTCGCCTATCGGGTTTTAATACTATATCTTGGTGCTTGTCTGTTGATCTAAAATAGGACTAGAAAACTTTAGCTTAATCTTCAATTGACTCAGGAAACACAACTTTTGAATGGCTCAATGATATCATTTGGATTTATTGGCAGTTAAGTACTAAATAAACGTTTTACACTTACCCAGTGAACAACATTTATATCAGTTAGCTTTCACGAGGACACAATCAATCTCTGCCTCCTTTGGTACTTAATATATTAGCGACTATAGTCGCTATTCGTTCATCTCTCAACTAAAAGTTGGATATTATTGTATGTGATATGGACTTGATGAGGTACAATCCGTTATACCAGCACACTTTCACATGCTATCAGGAATTTTTATCGTTCACTATGTGCTTTTATCTAAAAGATGTTTTACTCGGCATTACCTATTTTCACTGGAGTACTTTTAGTTTGATGAGGGAAGGCTAGGCGGTTGTGTTCGTTATCATGTTGGTGGTCTTCCATTTGATCCAACCATTTTCTGTTAGCGTTCAATCAAGTAGCTGTAGTCGATGGTCTCAGCGATTAGTTCTGTTAGTTGACGATTTACTGAAATAATCGGAATCTAGCTGACATGGTTGGTTTCAGGCTTTCTTCAATTCTACTGTTCTGGAACTCAAGAAAATGGTGGTCTAGCTTCAATTGACTCATGATCTCAACTATTAAAATTATTATGATAAATTTCTTAGACAAAGTGTTACGCAATATTTCTATTATTAGCATTTGCTTTGCTTAGTAGATCACAATACTTACCTTTGTGCTTTCTACGATTTTTATAGATTTGTAAAAAAAGAAAACAATGGTTATGTAATGTTTGAAATCTGTCAATGAATACTGAAAATAAATCCAAGTTAACACTATCAAATTGTGTTTGTGATATTTGTCAATGCTTTAATAATAAACTAGAAAATAAACAATATACTCATGTTAAATGTAAATTGAATGATAAAGTTAAATTATGGAATCGTTACGAAGGAATTGTGAAATTTATTGGTCCTATTCATTTTAAACATAATGTCAGTGTTATTCTTGTTGGCATTGAATTAGATTCACATAGTAAGTAGTGAGATTAGTATTATTCTGTACACTTCTAATTATTAAAAAAATTTACTAATAGTTTCTAGATTTACATTAAATAATTATAATCTCTACTGTGATCAAATGAAACGTATTCTTGTACCAACAACATTTTTTACATTATTATCACCAGGAAAACGTGGTTATCCACAAATTAAAGGCTTTAAAATGAATCCAAACTATAAACTAATACAGAAAAATCGTGAACTTTATAAAACTATGTAAGTTGTAATTGATTGTTTGATGAGACTATAATTTATAGACGACCATTAAGCGACGCTAAACTGACCTTAAGAGTGTCTACCTAATAACTAGGACCAAACGAGGATTATAAACCTGTATAAAGGATTGGAATTATGATTTACATTTGATGGCTAAGATTAGAAATTAGACTTTGAGTTTTTCTTACGAGCTGATATCAGCTATAATGCCAAAACTTTATTTAGCCAAATGGATGAGCGAATTTCGCTCTAAAATCCGAAACATGTTATCTTACATCTGATTGGTTCGTCCATAAATTATAGTCTTTCCGATTGTTTTTTATGAAATAATTCCTTATGTTATCATTCATAGTGACCCAATATTGTATCAGTTGAGATTTCAAAGATAAATGGATAAAAATTACTCATGCCGATAGAAAGAATTCGATAAAGGTAAGAATGAAAGTTTGTTAATGTATTAAATTTGATTTAATAGTTGAGATCATGAGTTGATTAAAGCTAGACCACCATGGTAAACCTTCAAGTACTAGACGGCCGTTTCATTCCGCTGGTCACTGTTTCTCACTAGAGCTACAGGAGATACCTCTCGAAGTTAGTCACTATTGAGCATATGCTGTCTATTGTGAGGTAGTAACTCACTGAAGACAATGGCGGACAGTAGTTCGATTTCGTAGATTGGTTGACGTAAAACATTAACACCGTTGGGTGCCAACCGGCTCAGTGGTTTATAGGTAAAGCGTTCGCGCGCGAGTACGATATAACCTAGGTTCGAATCTTGCGAGGAAGGATGGTAGATGTGCACTGTTGAGGAGTCCCATAATAAAACGACCCGCCCTCCAGTACTCCCAGGTTTTTCATGGTGGTCTAGCTTCAATCGACTCATGATTTAAACTAGTAAACTTACTACAATATCTACAAAACCACCTTGCTGATTACAAATTTAAGTTTACTTTTTCATACTTGCGAATTCAAAGTTATGCTTAATACTGAAATTAGATGAAAATGGTTCTCAATCTTATACAAGAATGATCAGTTGTTTTGCTTTATTTTTTTTGAGACGATTTAGTAATACCTATTCATGACTTTACTTCATGATTGAACTCAAAACTTATGGAATACTTTGTCAGGATAATTGTTATAACTTTTAGCCTAAGTGCCCTGCTAATGTATCATGTAATGATACCGCCAATTGGAGAGCAGTGAGTTATCGATCCGACCAATGACGCCTTAAATCCGTGCTAGCAGTCTAGAGTACTTATCGGTTCTTCTTCCACTATAGCCCTGACTGTTAAGTCCATAACACCAATCTCAGCCTCTGCAATATCAATCATGTATTTCAAACATAAGGGGTTTATATATCAACCAAACAGATCACATCATACAAATAAAATAGGGAACAACATTTGTACAAGATTTAACCAAATGTGATTGTGAATGTGGGAGGTAGTGACTAATAGACAGGGCATAACTCAAGAATGGTAAATCGTATAATGATAGTTTATAGGTCAAAATGTAGCTCATAATAAGGGAAATATGAATATGAATAGTTTAGGTGTTTAACAAATACATGATAAAAATATACGCATAGTATTGGTCTATAAATGAATCCTTACAGTTACTATTCATTAGGCTTATCGGGACATAACAATAATCCAGTGTCTGACATCTTTCATTTTAGCCATTACACAAAATATTGTTAACATTATTATATACCTTTTCATTTCCAATATGAATGAACTCCATTGATCGTGATTTGACTTTAGTACTTAAAGAATCTCTGTCAATGTTAGTTATTAGTATTATGATAGATGGAATACAGATAAAATTATAACCAATTAAGAATGATAAATAAACTATAATAAAGAATAGAGAAAAACTATCAAAATATAACGAAAAGTTATGTAGAAAATACTATGATTCTTGAGTTAATGTCAATGCTATTTCAGAATAACAACATATTCGTTCGAATTGATAGAACATGTCGTTTTAGGCAAAACTTGAATGAAATAAGCCAGATGTATTTATTCTTCCACTGTTATATTCTACGTTATTCACAATTTATTGATTGATTAAGAATGTTTTTCAATGAAAATCTAATATATAGTCATCGTTTTAGAAGTAGATATGGATGATTGTAAGCTTTCTGATTAGTTACACTACATAATTCAACTAATATCTTTGATTTAAGTCAGTTTCTTTGGTATAAACTTGTCTACACTTCATATTGTTAAGTTTCATGAGGTTTTTCTGTTACATGATGCGTTTTTTTTTGGATCTTTTGACTTTACCCTCGTCACTCCTCTTGATGTGTAGTCAGGCATTTATAACGGATGTAAATTTTACAATCTCACATTGTTCTACCTGTTAATCATATTAAGATATAAGTTGATATGTGAAATTATAAGCAAAATCAATTATGTCCCATATCTACTTCTTTATTAATACCCTCGATAATGCTCGGAAAGTTTTCAGGTACTAGGAAAATGTTGGAAATACTTCGACAGGCCAGAAAAATTTCTAAAACTGTTAATCAAGTTATTTTTATCCTGATTAGTTAATTATTGATTTCGTTATCACTCTTAACATGTTCCATTAAAGATTCTAAAATTTTGAAAGCTCATATAAACGGTTAAATTCTTTTGTTTTCTATCCAATCTTCATGAGTACAAAATGCCTCGGAACTAAGCAGTGGTTTGAGAATTCAATGCTTACATGTTCAAGTAAAAGATACAATGGTCTATATCGTGTTTAATGTTGGTAAAAGATCGAAATGAGTGTTTTCATTGGTTTTTAATCTTGTACCAGTAAATGATACGTTTACGGTTTACAAGCTTTCAGTGCTTCAAATGTGTTTCAGATTTAAAATATCCCACCAAATTGGTAATTCAAACCATCACGTGTTACGTATGCCTCAACACTGATTACCACGACGCTCAATACTGACTAGTATTGGGAATGGTTGGAAGAAAGTTAAGGGTGGCCGAACCAAAATGTGGCATCAGTGCTTGATGAAAGCACTAACTTCTAGTCTGAGCCATGTTGGTAGATGCAGACTACTTGGTTGGGGTCCGCGTGACTATTATAACCAATGGTTAGACTCTGTGTGACATGGCTCAGAATCAGCGTAGGTGTATACACTCTCTGTCTCCCCTTAAACTGTGAGACTAAAATCACTTCATATCTTTCTTTCTACGAACTAATTCTTTCTTTCTGTACTTTATTCTTACATAAAATCTTTCCTTTATATAACACCATTGAGTTAACTACTTCTATGAATCCGTTGTTCGACTTGTTGTGCTAATGAGCTATCGCAACTTCGACCGATTGATGTATGTGCCTGGTCCTATATTGTAACTGACTGACTGATATAAGTAATGAGTAGTCAGAATCCTATATGCCATGTTATACATTGTATCATGATTTTTTACACATCCTACATAATTTCATATCACTTTATTACATTGTATGGCACAGATTAATATTAGTTAATTTTGTACCATTGCGGTGTGTACTACTTATATTGACATAAGTAGTAGGTAACGTTAGTCAGGAATAGAATGTCTCACAACAGAAGGTCGAGAATATCGAGAAGGAAAGAACCGGAACAGAAAGCAATTAGTATGGAAATATAGGAACAATAAAGTGTGAGACAGTTGATTGACATTTTGTAAATGAAGTATTTACTGTATGTTTTGTAATTTTGTGTTTAAATACATTCCATTAGTTGTCATGGCGTTATCCACTTAGTTACTGAGTCTTGATAACTATAATCGATTATTCCCTACTTGTGTTCTCGTTCACTAGCCTATAACTTCTATAAGAAAACATTATCCATATTATATTTAGTTTTGTTAATCATATACTTGTAATTTTTCAGTAATATATAGTTTTACTGTTTCTTATGTGTAGATGAAGACTATATGGAAGGGTCCTAGTATCATCTGTTCAATATTTCATACTTCAATGATTGAAGCATTATATAATTATAAATGCTGTGATATATATTCTATATAAATATATATTATATTGGAAGAAACTGTGGTGTTGTTGTGATCTTGTTTACGTTTGTTTTCTTATATTAACTGCATTCAAATGAACCAAAATGGTTTGACTCAGTCAAGGTTTCTTTATTTAATGGCTTGATATCTGTCTCCAATTAGATCGTATGAATGATTCATGTCGAAATGTATTTAATTGAATACATAAATGTTGGTGAAAAAGGGGCACCGAATACATATACGTCACATAAGTCACTTGATTTATGTGTGGTTTGTGATATTTCCCGGGTGCTCAGACTGAAGCAGGTGGTTGTCTTAGGGGGTCACATTCGGAGCCTTCGATATAAAGATCTGATCCACAAGGTAGTGGAGCAACGGTAGGAGATGCAGTCCCATGTTAGTCGGTGACTAACAATAGAATCATATGCCGTTTGTTCCTTCAAAATCCTGTAGCCCATGTGCATCATTAGTTTTGGAATCAAGGTATTTCAACTGCCCTAGGTGGATTTTCTATATCAACAAACACGGACATTCGCTCTTCGTCCTCTCGTTTTCGTAAAACCACCCATGCAGCGAGAAGACAGTGAGTACATAGATTCGATCGGTAATTTGGAAACATGAACAGATTAACTCTGTGAATAAATAATTGTTATAATAGATTTTCTCTTATTTCTACACACAATCAGTGATCACTATAGTTGACTTCTGTCTTACAATCACTTTTTCACTTTTATTGTATTTGAATAACATTCCTTTATATTTCGGCTCACATCAAAACTCATGTGGTTTTTCCACTCATTCCTCTAAATGCCCTGATACGGTCCAGGGTGGGGCGATTCATCTCTCCTCCTCGAAATGCTCTCACATAGACATGCGTACACACCCGCTACCAGCGGAATCCTACTCATTACCCTCTCGCAGCATTACTGTTGTTTACGGAAATGAGAGGACGAAAAGCGAATATCCGACATTTTAACCGGGTTGTTGGATACGGATGATGCACCTAGTGGAGTTGGTAGCCAGTAACCAATAATTGATTCATACGCCATTTGTACCTTCAGGATACTGGAGCCTATGTGCACTTTTACTTTAGAATGAGGGTTTTCCAACTCCTCTAGGTGGATTTTTCATATCTACGAGCCTGGTTAGAGCGCCGGACATTTGCTTTTCATCCTTTCAATTTCGTAAAGAACAGTAATGCCGCGAGAAGGCAGTGAGTTAGACTTCCATGGCAAAGGCTGTATACACATGGCCATGTGAGAACATTTGAATAGGTTAGAGCTGACTCTCCCTACCTTTGGTCGTACCAGGGCATTATAGACTTATCGAATAAAGGAATTAAAATAAGTCAAATACGTGAAAGATTTTCGAATATTCTGTACACTCACTGATCTGGACAGGAAATGAGAGAGATAAAGAGAATGGAAGCGAGCGAAGCGAAATAACGCGCAGTGGAGATGTCTGGTGAGCCAAGTTCATTTAACCAAGCGTTAATCAATATTAATAGCCAGATAAAAATAGGTTACAGATATGTGATGAACAGTATAAGAAGAGCACACACACAATACGCTCATATAAAAACAGTTAAGGTTGACAAATGAATAATTTCACTAGTTGAAATCATGAGTCAATTAAAGCTAGACCGTCATAGAAAACCTAGAAGAACTAAACGACCGTCTCGTCCCATCGTAGGACTCCTCAGCAGCGTGCACCCACGATCCCGCCTCCCGCGAAATTCGAACCCATGACCTAACAGTCTTGCGCACGGGCGCTTGACCATTAGACCACTGAGCTGGCCGGTATCCAACGGTATTAATGTCTAGCTTCAACTAATCCACGAAACCGTACACCATTGTCTTCAATGTTTTGATATGCGCACTGCTGAGTAGTCCCATATTAGGACGAATCAGTCGTCCAATGCTTCCAGGTTTTCCATGATGGTTTAACTTTAAATGACTTGTGAATTCAACTATTGAATTCATTACAATCTCCACAAAGAATAACCACCTTCTGGTATTAATTCCATTTAATTAGAAAAAAAAACAAACTCACAATGAAATCATAAAAATGAAATTTTATTCTCTACAATTCATCTTATGAAATTTCATTAACCAAATAACAATTGAATACAATTAAATAAGTAGTATGTTTATCACATAGACAAAATCTATTTATTTAATATACACCAGTAATTAATAATATTAGCAGTATTAGTATTAGTATTAGTATTAGTAGTAGTAGTAGTAGTAGTAGTAGTAGTAGTAGTAGTAGTAGTGGTAGTAGTATTAGTAATAGTATTAGTAGTAGTATTAGTATTAAAGTGTATTGATATTCAACATGATTGTGTAGATGAATCTCATTATTGTTATGGGAAAAAAACTAATGATCATTTTTGTTATAAAAATCAATGGATTAGAGATCAATCAATATTGATGATCAATAAATTATGGAATGTTTTCTTTTTTTTTCTGTTTTGTTTTTAGTTTTTAGTTTTTTTTTTTCATTTCATCATTCTATATTCATCATTATAAATGATCATATGGTTATCATTGATTAATTTAATTAATAATAAACAGTGTTATATTAGAAAGGAATCTAATGGAATCAGTTAGATCCAATTCGATTTGATATGTATAAATTAAATTAATTAATTTTCATAAGAAAAAAAGTACATAGAAGCTTTTCAAAAATAAAATGTTGATTATCTGAGTAGACTACTGAATAAGAATATAAGTAGTCTAAAAAAAACAAAGCAAATATTTATATATCATACTTGTTCTGTATTAAATTTTTTGAATTTTGGTTTTTCTAATTTGAAATGTGAATTAAGTTTAGCTGTAATAAATTTATAGAAAAATCTGTATGAATGGACAGAATGTAGTTTATAATTTATATTATAAATGATTAAATTTCAAATGATATGAAGTAAACTCAGTATAATATTATCAATTTAGGTGTTGGGGAGATTGTCAAGTTTTTGATTGAGATCATGAACCGATTTATGTTAGACCACCATTGAAAACCTGAAAGCACTGTACGTCCGTTTCGTCCTATTGTGAGATCCTTGAGCAGTGAGCATCCACGATCCCGCTCACGGGATTGGAACCCAGGGCCTTCAGTCATGCGCGCGAATGCTTAACTTACTGGACCACTGAACTGGTCGGCATCCGATGGTGTTAATGTCTGACCTCAACCAATCCACGAAATTGCGCGACCATCTTCTATTGTACTGAGGTAGACACCTGTTTCTATCCGACACGGATTAGCTCAAATGCTTTTTATTCTCTTAGTGAATGTATGATGTCACTTGTTTTGTAACGTTATTATTACCATCAATCACATTCCTATTCACTGATGTGAAAGTTTTATTTTGTTTCAGTTCTCTAGTAACAATATACTTTTCGTTTACTTAAATTTCAATAATGCTTACTTACTTACGTATTTTAACCCCCGTGGAGGAGAATAGACCGTCCACTAGCACTCTCTAATCCACCCTGTGCTGGGAAATCCTTTCGCGGTTTTTCCAGTTGTTATTAATCTTTCTCATGTCTGCTTCGAATTATTGACGTAATGTGTTCTTCAGCATTCCTCTTTTCCACTTCCCTTCAGAATTCCAAGTTAGCGGTTATCTCGTGATGAAGTTTGATGATTTCTTGAATGTATATTCTATCCACTTTCAACATCTTTTCACAATTTTCTCTTCACATGGAAGTTGCGTTTTCTCTCCCACAGTAGGTTGTTGCTGGTAGTATCCAATCAATGAATGTTGAGTATCTTGCGTAGAAAACTATTTATAAATACTTGTACTATTTTGATGATGGTTGTAGCAGTTCTCCAGCTCCGTACAGTAGAACTCTTTTGACGTTCGTATTAAAGATTGTGACTTTGATTATTGGTTGACAATTATTTTGAGTTTCATACATTCTTCATTTGTAAAGATGTTGCCCTTAGTTTACTAATCCTTGCTTTTACATTAACATCCGATCCTCCTTGTTCATTAATGATGTTGCCATGGTACGTGATCCAGTATAATCATGGAAAGATAAATCTCATATCACCAATAGTTCATTGTTAATTTTTCTTATTCAACCCAACATAAACTAATTATTATTCAATCATTTTCAATAATTTAGTTGATATGAAATGTATTCTATCAAATACATTTTTCAAAGAAAGTTATGTCTATCCACTAGATCTTCTACCATGATTATCCTTAAGCTTAATTAATCACAAAAAACTAGAATGATAACAATTTATCGAATAACACCATTTCCAGTGTATTTCATCCTACTTTAGGCTAGTCAGATGGATATATCTACATCATAGTGTTGATATTTACAATCATTTATAAACTCAGTATCGATTCTTTCAACAGAGATCAGTGTTTTAACCTCCAAAGTTTATAAAAACACAAGGATAAACAGTATATATAACATGGACTATCATATGCCTAAATGGTGTTCTCGTAACTTTCGGGTTGACTGATCTGCTAAAGGTGATGGGACAGTGTATGATGCTATTGTTGTGTACTAGGTTCAAAGAGAATTATATGCTATATGCATGCAAATCCGACTTGTTATTGTTCCTTTCTAACATTAGTCTAACATGACTAAATATTCTATCTTTGAATATAGGTGACAAATTAGCTTAATGATAACATCTCAGATTATGAAATTGTGTGAGGTGCAATCAATTCTGTTGGAGATACCAACAAGTCACTGAACATGGTAGTCACGGTGAAGCTTGATCGATAAAATTCACTCAGCACTAAACGACTTAAGCGAACATGGTCAGTGATCAATCAATTAAATGAGAGAAAAGGATGAAACTATAATTGATAGACAACTTTAAACGAACTTTCAGTGACGTTGGGAAATTTCAGCTAATCAGAAATGTATTCAGTATAATGTAAGAATATATTATACAAACAAAAATAAATTAGAGTGGATACATTTCTTTATCGTGATTAAAAAACTTTTCAAGATTAGAAAGAGGCTCTGCAGTTCTGAAATCGTAATGCATACGGTACAGGAACTCATCTGTATGATTCCATCATCGACCTGTGGAGCTATCATAAGGTCTCGAAAATTCTTTTAGCCTCGGCCACATTGCTCCCATGCTGGGGTCTACCAAATATCACTTGTCAACGACGATACTGTGCTTGTAACCAAGTCTAGTTAGGCATCAATATACTCTCCAGCCATCAGTGTATATTGTGGTATCCGGTTGCATATACTTTCGTATAATTGATATTATCGTTGTGGCCTGTCGGTTTCTCACGCTCTAGAGGTGTTCTTTTTGAGATGATATATTATATATACCAAATACTTGTTAATTTTACCTAAGTAAGTGATGCTCATGTCATCATCTTTAACAATTTTTCTAGTGTATTTTTGTTTTCTAATGACAATTTCGTTAATTTCTAAGATTCTCTCGATTCCTCCAAGCTACTGATTCAAGCTTGTCATTTTTATTGTACATATAACTCGACCGTACTTATACTGATAAAAGATTTGTGGGAATTGTAAAAGTTTCACAGTTTAAATCACAAAGTGATCTTAGCTAGACCATCATTGGAAACATGGAAGGATTGGAAGGTCGTTTCATCATAGTATGAGACTCATTAGCAATGAGTTCATTAACTTAGAGCTGAGAATCTAAGCCAAAACTTTCGATCTCGTTGGCGAATGTCTTACCTTTAGATCACTGAACCAATACCCAATGGTATAAATGTCTAATTACAATCAATCCACTATATTGTACAACCCTAAATAATCCATAAACCAATAATTTCATAAATCAGTGAACATGGGACACAAGTTTTACTGATTATTCAATCCACCCTACATGAAAATTCAGTATCACATCAATCCAGCACTTGAATAAATAACACTGTAACTAATAAATATCAACAAATAACTGAACATAGTGAAGATATATGCAATTTGAAACATATTAAGATAAATTACACTACCTGGATTTACGCAAACTGATAGACTTAACATTGATATTATAGTGTTATGAAAGTGATTGAGTTTGAAACTTCAAACCAAATCTCTAGTGGCTAACTTGGATAGTTGATTTTCAGAACTCTGAGAGAATCTGATTTAGTGATCTGAAGATTAATTGTTATCCATAAAGCTTAAATCTTAACGATACTGTTCCTCATGAAGTTGTGGATGAGCAATGTTGAAGGATACATATCAGGACAAAAGAGCTATCCAGTCGTATCTAGTTTTTAATGGTTGTCCGTTATATCAAACGGTTACTAATCATACCTCGTAATTCATGAGTCAATTGTAGATAGACCATCATAGAAAACCTGGAGGCACTGGATGGCCGTTTCATCCTAGTATAGGACTACTCAGCAGTGCACATCCACGATCCCGCCCCGTAGGGCTCGAACTCAGGACCTGTCAGTCTCACGCGCGAACTATTAACCTTTAGACTACTGAGCTAGCCGTCATTCAACGGTGTTGATGTCTAACATTAACCAATCCCCAGATATTATGTTTTTATTTATACCATGCAAACAGCTATCTACCTCAGTACAATCAAAGATGGTCACTTAATTTCGTGGATTGATTCAACTTAGACATTGACAATGTTAGATGCCAGCCAGTTCAACAGTCTAGAGATTAAATGTTCGTACGTGAGACCGAAATCCTTAGGTTAAAATCCTACGGAGTAGGATCGTGGATATGCACTGCTATGAAGTCTCACAATAGGACGAAAAGGTTAGATCTAAGTTGTTAGTATGCAATGTTAAGGTGAATTATTAGTTTTGCAAAACAAACAAACAAAAAAACAAAACAAAACAAAAATGACGTAACGCAATAAACACTATAGATCTTATATTTAGTAAACTAAAACCAAGGAAATAAATTGATCAATAATGTGAAGCATAAAATAAACAAGTAGCAACTAATTATTGATAATTTTAGTTTAAATTAAACTAGTTGTTAACTCAAATAATTGAAACCAATATACCCCATTAATAAGAGTAATGATGTTATAATAAAACGATTTCAATATAAAAGATGTGTTAACAGATAAGGCTGAAAATTTCAATTTGGAAAGAATATAAACATTTAAAAGTATTGGATGGTCAATATGTCATTGTATGAGACTCTTGATTAGTATGCATTCATGATCTTATACATGACAATTGAGCTTAGGAACTTTGGTCATACTTGTGAACATTTAATTACTAAATCATTCAAGGGTGTTAATGTCTAACTTTGTATCAGTAGTCTAGAGGTTATATGTTTGTAAGAGTGATCAAAGATGTTAGATTTAAGTCCTGTATGTGAGATCGTGGATATGCATTGCTGAGAGATTCAATATTAGAACAGAACAGTCATTCAGTACTTCTAGGTTTTCAATAGTGATTCAGTTTATTTGGACTCATGAATTCAACTATTCAGATTACTACAATCACCACAAATCCCCATTCTGAATATAAAAATTATTTTGTATATTGAAGTTAAATCAATCATTGAATATTATTCGATAAAACCTGTTAGAGCTGTCATAATATATATGCTTTTACAGCAAATATTCATTTACACAATGAACCAATAGTATACACTTACAAATAATGCTTATATCTTACTTACTTACTTACGCCTGTTACTCCTCGTGAAGGAACATAGGCCGCCCACATATGTTGCTTACGTTAGAAGTATGTACATATTAGTTGTTTGAATCTTTCGGTATGTGTTAATCCTGTAAGGATTGCTTCGATATTGCTCATAAGTCAGAAGGATATAATTAGTAATGAAAACTAGGATGCTGGTTTCGTTTTATTTTGGACTCTTCATCTGAATGATTTTAGAGTGAGAGGTAATGAGTTCTAATTCCATGGTGAATATATTAAGTCTGCGACATGGGTACAATCAGATGACAAATTTGAAATAAGAGGCAATGGATGTTCTAGATCCTATTGCTAGCCACTATATCATCTTTTCGTAAAATAAAATATGTTTAGAAAAATTGTTAATTTTTCAATGATATCCGGTGTTTTAATCAGGTTGGTCGATACGGAGGATCCACCTAGGGGAGTTGAAAAACCCTGATTCTAAACCAATGGTATAATAATCACAACAACCCCTTCTGATACTAATCAGTATATTCTCACTAGTGACTGACTTTAAGAGATATTTCTAGTGAGAAACAGCGACCAGCGGAGTTCAACTGGGTCTGTAGTGAGATAGTAACTCACTGAAGACAATGGTCGACCGTGGTACAATTTCGTAAATTAGTTGAAGTTAGACATTAACATCATTGGATACCGGTCAGCTCAGTGGTTTAGGGCTTCAGTGTTCGCGTACGAGACCGACAGGTCCTGAATTTGAATCCTGTTAGTGGTGTTGTGGATGCGCACTGCTGACATGTGGCACAATTGAACGAAACGGCTGTCTAGTACTTCTAGGTTTGGATGCATACAAAATCTATCTACATGTCATTTGAATATGTCCACGTAACTATCCTAACCAATGGTTGGAGACTCTTGGTGACATGGGCTCAGAATTGATCACAGTGGTGTAAGTGTATACACTCTCTGTCTTCTCTTAAACAAAGAGATTAAAATCACTTCATATCTTTCTTTCTCCCTGTATTATATCCTTATACGCAATCTTTCTTTTATATATTACCACCATTGACTTAACTACTTCTATGAATCCGGTGTTCGTCTTGCTGTGCTAATGAGGTATGGTAACTTGGACCAATGCATATGTGTGCCTGGCCCTACGTTGTAGCTGACTAACTCACTGAACACTCTTAAGATCACTTCAGTATCACTCAAAGACTGACTGACTGACTGAATATATTGTAAACAAAAGTGATTAGAACAATCAGCTAAACTGATTAAATCAATCGACATTTAGTTAGTTAGTTAGTTAGTTCGTTAAACAATAATATCATTGAATAGTTGAATATATGAATGCATTAAAACTAGATCATCAATGGAAAACTTGAAAACATTGAATAGCCGTTATTTACTCAATAATAAGTAGTAGTATAAAGAAAGAAAGAAAGAAAGTTATTCAGATGGATGGTTTACTTTAGAATGAAAACAGTGTTAATTAACTTCTAAGCCATGTCCATTTTTTAACACTTGGATGGAGATGACTTGGTTTCATTGGTGTTTCATAATATCTTTCTGAAAATAATATTAAATAGGGTAATTATGATATATATATGTAGGATATAAATAGTATTCTATTGTATGAATCAACTCAATACAGCTTAATATAAGAAAGATGGGGGGGAGGCGGGCTTAGGGTTTATGACGAGTTTAATAATTTGTAATAGTTGTATGCATGAATTAACTAAAGCTAAACCACCATGAAATACTTGGTAGCATTGGATAGCCATTTTGTCCTATTGTGAGACTCATCAATAGTACATATTTACGATCCTGCTTGCAGGATTCGAACCTAGAACCTGTCAATCACTGAGCTGGCTAGCATCGAACGATGTTAATATTTAATATCAATCAATCTATGAAATTGCATTACCATCCATCATTGTCTTTAGTAAGTTATTATTTCATAGTGCTTTCAGGTTTTTCATAGTGATTTGACTTTAATTGACTCATGAATTCAACTATATAAAATACAGCTTATGTCTGGTCAGATGAATAAGTTGACGATAGTATAACAAAATATTTTGGATTCTATTCAATAAATAATCAATATATTGGACGTAATACACATGAATAGATCCTTAGTCAACTGTCTTAACAACTATGTTTGTACAGTATTGAATACAATGTTAAAGGTACTTTTATATTAGAAGATAGTTTGAATCTATTGGAAAGTAAACTTTGATTCTTTTTCTTTTAAATTAGAAATCAAAACAAAAGAAGAAAGATAATATTGAAAGAATACAATGAATTCTTTGTTCTTTTGTATATATATATGTAAGTGAAGTCAGTCAGTCAGTCAGTCAGTCAGTTAGTTAGTCAGCTCGTTAGCATAACCAGATGAACACCAAATTCGTAGAAGTAGTTGCTTCAGTGGTGGTAATATATGAAAGGAAGATAGCATATAAGGATGTGATACAGGGAGAAAGAATTAGTTGGTAGAAAGAAAAGTATAAAGTAGTTTTAATCTCATGATTTAAAGGAAGACAGAATGTGTATAGACCGACGCCATTATGATCAATTCTGAGCCCATGTCACTTAGAGTCTACAACCATTCATTACGATAGTCATGCAGACCCCAACCAAGTATTTTACATCAATCAACATGGCTCACACCACAAGTTAGTGACTTGATGAACTGATGACACGTTCTGGTTTGGTCACCCCTAACATTCTTCCATCCGTGTCCAATACTAGTCAACGTTGCTCACCGCGGTAATCGGATTTCAGGTATACGTAACACGTGGCCCAACCATCTCAGTCGATGAAGATTCACAATCTCATCAGCTGATTTACTACCATTCTCTAATACCCTGTGTCTAACCTCACTATTACTTACCAGGTGATTCCAGCAGATGCGAGAATTATTTATAAGATATCTGTGATCAAATACTAGCAGCTTACGAGTATCTTCTAATCTTGATGGACAAGTTTCTCAGGCGTAAAGTAGAACAGACTGAACTGTTGCGCACTATAGTTGTCCCTTAATTGATTGAGTGATATTTCGTCTTCGTGTTAGGTGACGTAAGTTGGCAAAAGCCGAACGACTTTTCTGAATCCGTCTTGAGACTTCGTCGGACACTAACCAATTTGGGCTGCTCAAACTTCCAAGATAAGTGAAGTTGTCGATGTGTTCGACTACTTCACTCGCTATCCTTAGTTCAGGTGTTGACGCAGGCCAGTCTTGAAGCAACAACTTGCATTTTGATGGGGAGAAACGCATCTCAAACATCATGGTATTGTTGCCCAGTGATGTCAAGAGACTGCATTCTATTAGCGTCTTCACCAAATAGAACTACATCATTTGAGTATTCTAGTTCGATCAGTGGACCTCCTGGTAGGAGATCAATTCCTGAAAATCCAGACGACGAGGATGTTATTATTATCAGTAGGTCTGCTATGAAATTAAAAAGAAATGGAGATATTCGATAGCCTTGTCGGACGCCACTTGAAGTTACAAAATCACATGACAGTTCGCCATAAGCTCTCACTCAATTAGTAGTGTTCGAGTAAAGAGCCTTCACAAATTTTGTGTATTTCTAATATGCAACTTTCAATGACAGACACTGCCACAGAACCTCTCGGTCAACAAAGTTAAATACTGCTTTTAAGTCGAGGAAGACCACCATTGTCGGACGCCGATAAGTATGCCTGTGTTCTAGAACCTGAGGAATGGTGAATATGTGGTCTATGCATCCACGACCAGGTCTGAAGCTAGCTTGGTTCTCTCGTGTTTGCAGTTCGCGAGCCTTAGTTAGGCGTCCGATAATTATCGAATCTAGTATTTTAGATACTATATTGGTCAAACTAATCCCTCTATGGTTGTCACAAAATGATTTTGACCCCTTCTTATATATTGGGACAATTAATGATTACTACCAGTCAGATGAGATTACGTCCAACTCTGAGATTTTTACTAAAATATAGATTAACCTAATCGCTAAAACTAGACCACCATCCTTAAAATCTTCAGGAGTCAATCCATTTGGACCAGTTGTTTTTCCTCGTTTCAGATTAGCTATAGCTTTTTGAACTTCAACTAGAGTCAGGAGACCTACTTCAAAGTTCCATTCAGGCTGTTTGAGAATAGTAGATAGTATGTAAATGAATAGAAAGTAATGAAAATCGAATGAATTATTAATCACACAAATTACAAGTTGATAGTCTTAATGTTTATTGGTTGGAGCTAGTCAACAAAAAAAAACCCTGGAATCAGGTTTCGTGCTATTTAGCACTCATCATCAAAGTGTACCTGTAATCTGGAGGGAATTGATAATCCCTAACGGATTCGATCTCATATTACTCAGCTTCAAAATCAGAGGCGTTAACACTGGGATATTAGGGCTGCGACTGACCTCCTGTAAGACTGAGATGTATTTACAACTAATTAATCACTGGATGATGATCAAGTTGTCCTATGTGTCTAGTTCTTCTTAATGCAGATCAAATCCTATAGACTAAGTTTGAAAATGTTCAATAAATGAGTTTCTGTTCAACTTATATTATGCATTAAATAAATAAATTTAAATGATAAATATATATGTTTATATATATATATATATATATATATATATCGGTTGATACTCACCATAATCTACGTTTGTAACCATAATTGCTAAAGTGATTTGAGAGAGATTGTGGAGTTTGAAAAGAATAGACACATGGTGACCAATATAAATAGTAATAAAAGCAAAACAATCATTCTTTCCAATGAAATCAAGAACCGATCTAAGTTAAACAAACTTTGAAAATCTGAAAGGACTTAAGAACCATTCCGTTGTAGTATAGAACTCCTCAATGGTATGTATTTATTACAACTGAGGATTAAACCTATACTCCTCAGTTTCACTTGTTAGTGCTTAACATCTAGACTACTGAGACGGTAACTAATATTGTGACTGTCTAGGTTCAGTTCATGAAAATATATTTGTTGAAGCATTTCAGAATTGATGGCTATGATGTCATTAGTTTTTTTTTTTATTGAAAGACAAACGATAAGTTTAAAGTTACCTTGTAGTAAAACCTAGAACGTAAGTCCCTAAATTTACAGATAGGATATCGACCATTCATTCACTACATTCTTATCTTGAAATGTCAGAGTGTTATTTACTAGGTAAGTTCTATTGTTTGAAAAAAATACTAATAACCAGTGAAGCTTGTCTTTACCAATTGTTCAGTGTATTACACATTATTTCTATTGTGAATAGTCACAGGTAATCCATCTTTAGAACTCTACCACTCTACACTAATAAGCAACATTTGTATGTGGTAAAAGATAATTACTAACAGAGGATGACGGTAAATAAGAATATTTACAGATTTCAATATAACTGTGACAGCTAATACACCTGGATAAATCATAACATGCAAGATCAAAAGTTATAGGTTGATTTCCTATGTGCAAAGTTGTGAATGTACACAAAGATGAAATGATCGACCAGTGCTTCTGTGTTTTCAATGATGATTGAAATAAAATCACTGCGTGATTAAAAATGTGCGAAATTCCTTCAACCTTTGCAAATCCCACCATTATTTACTTATATACATACGCCTGTTACTCTTCATGTAGGAGCATATATCGTCCACCAGAACTCTCCATTCCAACTTGTGCTGGGAAATCTTTTTCAGTTCTTTCCAGTTATTATTGATCTTTTTCATGTCTACTTCAAATTCCCGATGTAGTATGTTCTTCGACCTTTCTCTTTTCTGCTTCATTTCAGGATTCCAAGTTAGCGCTTATCTTGTGGCGCAGTTTGATGATTACCTCAATGTATATCCTATCCACTTCCAACATCTTTTCACAATTTCCTCTTCATATGGAAGCTGTTTTTTCTCTCCCACAGTGGGTTGTTGCTGATGGTACCCGGCCAATGGATATTGAGTATCTTGTGTAGACAATTGTTTATAAATATTTGTACCTTTTTGATGGTGGTTGTAGTAGTTCTTCAAGTTTCAGACAGACTGTCGAAGCGATTAACCGGAACTCATCGGCTTATACATAATTACTTACGCCTGTTAATCCAGATGGACCATAGGCCACTGACCAGCATTCTCCAACTCACTTTGTCATGGGTCTTCCTTTCAGCTCTATCCAATTTTTGTTCATTCTTCTCATGTCTGTCTTCATCTGGGTGTAATGTGTTCTTTGGTCTTCCTCTTTTCCTTTGGCCTTGAGGATTCCACGTAAGGACTTGCCTTGTGACAGTTGGGTGCTTTCTTCAATGTGTGTCCTATCCACTTCAATCGCTTCTTTTTGATTTCTTCCTCTACTGGGATCTACTTTGTTCTCTTCCATAGTAGGTTGTTACTGATAGTTTTTGGTCAACGGATCTGAAGTACTTTACGTAGACAGCTGTTAATAAACACTTGTATCTTCTGGATGATGGCTTTCGTAGTTCTTCAAGTATCCACCCCATACAGTAGAACTGTTTTGATATTTGTATTGAAACTTCTGACCTTAGTGTTAGTTGACAATTGTTTTGAGTTCCAAATGTTCTTCAGTTGTAAATATGATGGTCTTGGTTTACCGATCCGCGCTTTCACATCTGCATCAGATCCATCGTGTTCATCAATGATGCTTCCCTTCTTATATGACAATTTTAACTTAGCTGATAACACATTTTGTTGATACTTAAGACATATTCAACATAAAACCTATTAATTCCAATTTTTAACACGCTGCTTTATTTTACGAGAATGCTTATATTGTACAATAAGCAGATTTGATGATGGTTAGCAGTAGAATGCAGTATGCGCGTTTTATTCTGTTTTGGAATTCGTCAAACGGATATACTTACATCTCAGAATTGATGTTCATTGTGAGACTTGAATTCATTATCATATGCTTTAGACGTCATTGCACTATCCACTTAGCTACTAAATTCAGATTCATTATATGAATTGGTTGTTTGAATTATCCCATTAATATCATATTGATACTGTTTAGTTTAATATTTCATCTTATGTAATAGACAGATTATGGAATTATAAGTAGTATGAAAAGGATTTTTTTGGAAGAAAAAGAAAACAACAACAAAAATATTTATAACTTACGAGGTGGTGGTGGTTTCTTTTTCTCACAGCAACATAAATTTCTTGCACGTTCACAAAATGATGGATGCATTTCCAAGTTAGATACACTGAAATGAAATAGATGAGTTGTTGTTGTTGTTTATTAAAGTAAAATATATTTTAATAGTTGAGATCATGAATGAATTGTAGCTAGACTTTCATAGAATATCTGGAAGTGCTAGACGGCCGTTTCGTCCTAGTATGGTATGCTTCTGTACGGCGCAACCATAATCCGGCTGGTGAGATTCGGATCTTAGAGTTCTAGTAAAAAGCTGTAACCAGTAGAGTTCAACCATCACGGAATATCTGGAAGTACTGGACAGTCATTTCATCCTAGTATGGGATTCCTCAGCAGTGCGTAACCATGATTCCGCTTTGCGAGATTGGAGCCTAGAACCTTCGGTCTCACGCGAGAACACTTAACCTATAGACCATTGATCTGGCCGGTATCCAACGGTATTAATGTTCAACTTCAACTAATCTATAAAATTAAGTGACACATCCACCATTGTCTTCAATGAGTTAATATTTCAAAATAGACAGCATATGCTTACTAGTGACTGGCTTTGAGAGGTATTTCTTGGAGTTCTAGTGAGTATCAGTGACCATTAGAGTTCAACCGGGTCTGTTGTAAGATAGTAACACACTGAAGATAATAGTGGCCAGTGGCAAAATTCCGTGGATTGATTGAAGTTAGATATTAACACCATTAGACGCCAGCAAGAGGTTAAGCGTTTACGTGCGAGACTGATAGGTTCTAGGTTCGAATCCTGCAAGAAATATCATGGATACGCACTGGTGAGGAGTCGCATACTAGGACAAAAAGGCTTTTCAGTGCTTTCAGGTTCTTGATGATGGACTAAAATTGATCCATTCATGATCTTAATCAGAAACTCATCAATTTTCACACTTCATACTGATATTTATAAAAAGTCAGTATACAAAAATATCACTTCCTTTTTTAACAGTCAGTCAGTCGCAAGCCCTCACATGGAATCCTCAAGGGCAAACGAAAAGAAGGAGACCAAAGAGCACATTACATTCAGAAATGGAGACGACATGAGAAAAATGAACAAAAATTGGATAGAACTGGAGAGGAAGACTCCTGACAGAGTGGATTGGAGAATAATGGTCGGTGGCCTATGCTGCATTAGGAGTAACAGGTGTAAGTAAGTAAGTTAGTCCGTCAGTAACCGCGTAGAACTTCCTAAGTACGTACATCAGTTCGAGTTCTTATACCATATTAGCATACATATACAATTGTCCATTCCAATCCCATAGTGATAGAGGTAGTAGAAGTATAAGCAGTGATCGTAAAGATTAGTTTAAAGATGATATTCATAGAGTATAATCGAGTGAAATAAATTTTGAAAGAGAAAAAAAAAAAAGAAACATAAAGAATTCAGAAGATTAGAATTAGGAAGAACACAAACAGTAGATGAACCTGCTTACACCATTGCAAATAATTTTGAGCCATGTTATTCAACGTCTCTAACCATCGGTTGCTATCATCTTACGGATCCTGACCAGTTAATCTACACCAACTAACATGGATCAGTCCACTTGTCAATGACTTCATAGATTTGTTCCATGCTTTGGTTTTGGTCACCCCTAGCTTTAATAAATAATCACTAGTCATGAATATAATTCAAGAGATGTTATTTTAATCATAAACAACTACATATCAACTACATATATATATGTATATATTACTTACTCATTTAATAATCCTTTATTTCTAACTTCAGCAACTTCATAATCAACTTGATCTAAAAATTTTTGTAAATCATCTATTTCATTATCATCGGATCGTTTCTTTCCTAATGGTGCAGATAAATTTTCTGGAAAAGTATCAGGATCCATAAATACAGATCGATAACTAACATCTAAATTATAATCTAAAATTTTTGATGTTTGAAAATCTTCATCATCATCACCGAATGGATTCATAACACATAAAGCTACCTGAATTTATAGAAAATTTAAAATCAATTAAAAAATATAAATATAAATGTAAATGTATGTATTGAGGGTTATATCAGAAATTCTTGAAAATTAACATTCAAAAGTTTTAAGAAAGATTATATATATATATATATATTCAGTGGAGCTTCGTAGAGAGTTCTTCCGTCGACAGTTGATTTGGAAATGCTTCACCTAACTGTATATATATATATATATTGCGTGTTTACTTACTTATGCCTGTTACTCCTCATAGAGGAGCATAAGCCACCCACCAGCATTTTCCATCCAACACTGTCCTGGGCAATCTTCTTCAGATCTTTTCATTTGTTACTCATTCTTTGGCATTCCTCTTTTCTGCTTCCCTTCAAGATTCCATGTTAGGGTTTGCTTTGTGATGTAGTTTGATGAATTGCATAATTCATGTTCTATCCATTTCTATTATCTTTTCCTAATTTCCTCTTCAACTGGAAGCTCGTATGTCTACTCTCACAGATAGCTGCTACTGATGGTATCCGGTCAATGAATGTTGAATATTTTGCATAGAAAACTATTTATAAATAATTGTACCTTCTTGATGGTGGTTGTAGTAGTTCTTCAAGTTTCAACTCCTGTATATACATTAGTTTACTTGATTTTGTGGAATATGTTATATCACCGCTACAAAGTGTGTACTTTTCAAACAAATCTTCCGGTATTCTCACAAATAATTTTCAAAAGATGATGTAAACCTAGATCAACCGGATAACTAGACGGAAACTTGTGGGCAATAGACTTGGTATTCGTGTTCAAAAGTGATGTGCACAATCCCTTACCTTAATATGATTCTAATCCGCTTAAATTTTGCTATCACCTATATCAATAGTTGATATCATGAACCAAATGAAGCTACAAAACGATGGAAAAACAGAGGCACCGGATAGCTGTTTCTTTCTATTGTAGGACTCCTGAGCAATGCGCATCCATGGCCTCCCTTCTGGATCAGTGGTCTAGTGGTTAAGCGCTAGCGCGAGAGACTGATAGGTCCAATGTTCGAGTCCCACGAGGCTGGATCGTAGATCCGTACCGCTGAGGTGTCCTACGATAGAACGAAACAGCCGTCCAGTGTTTCCAGATTTTCCATGATGGTCTGGCTTCAATTGACTTCTGATCTCATTTATTGAAATTACTATAATCTACACAAAACACCTTCTGATACTTATCACTAATATCACTAGTAATTATTAATACCTAATCGATAATCAAAAGACTAGTAATTAATCTTATATTTCATCTGAGAATTTATTTTATTCACTATCCGTATTCATAATTCTCTGCTTATGTTTACATGTAAAGTCACTAGTGTCTATGTATATTGGTTGTTTGAATCTTCCCATTGACGTTTACAACTGAATTCGATCAGTTTCTCTTGGCATATGTGCATCTTGTAAGGTTTTTATTAATGTTGGCAGTAAGTCATAGAGATGTTTAAACAGAGATGAATGGTAATTAGTAATGAAATCTAGGATGTACGTTTCGTTCTATTTGAGCCCATATTATACAAGTGAGCATCTATAATCCTTCATGTTACATATGATAAGAAAAACATATCAATTTTGTATATCATCTGCATTCGAATTGACTAAGGTATTACTCTCCATATCATAGGATTAAAATGGTTTTTGAGATTGTTAACAAGAATTAGGAAGCTCATTCATTCCTCTACAGTGCTCATCCACGTCCCCAATATCAAAGGGACTCGAACCCATGATCTTCGGTTTTGCGCGCAAACTCTCAATCTTTGAACCACTGATCCGGAAACCGAGGGTGTCAATGTTTAAATTCAATCAATCCACGATATCACTCAACCATACTTTGTTGTTTTTGGTGAGTAACTGACTCACAACGGATACGGATGTATTCCATTGGTCACGATTTCTCATTAGAACTCCAGGAAATTCATCTTGTAACTAATCCCTAGTGATCACATGATTATTATCAGAATAAAAATTTGTGGAAATTGTAATAATTTTATTAGTTGAATTCATGAGTTGATCTAAGTTATACCATCATTGAAAACTTGGAAGCACTAAACAGGCGTTTCGTCCTAGTGTTGGACTCCTCAATAATGAATTCAACTTTGACTATACTACAATCTCTACAAACTTCATTGTATTCTAATCATATGTAATTTGTTTTAATTCAGATAAGCAATTTATCAAATTCAATGTTACATATCAATTTTTTTAAAAAAAAATAATCAATAATTATGTTACCTTTAACCAACCCATAAGGAATAGAAAAGAGAATATACTAAATATCGGGACATATAAATCCACATTATGTTGACCATTTTGATTACGATGTTCAACAAATTGACAAGCAAATATTTGACACATAAAATAACTATAAACTGCTATAATTACAACCTATAAAGAAAATAATCAATATATATATATATATATATATATATATATATATATATATATATTAAATAATCATCTATAAATTAATAAGTGAATGAGTTAAACAATTAGATTAAAGGTGGTTTTAATGACCTGAGATCGTGACCTCAGTGCCCAAAGGACAACTGTTTGAGATCGGTCATACACAACGTTTTTGTGAGTAAGTTTCGTGTTAGCTTCGTACTTATTGAGACTTTACCGCTGGAGATGGATATCTGTGGGATAAGGCGAGGTGTGAACTTTTAGGGTCGACCTTTCATAAACCCACTCCTCCTTGTGAGAAGGCATCATCGCTTTTATACTGATTGTCTGAAGGAAACACCTTGCTGCCATCACACCTCTGTACGGTGAGCAGTACGACTTCACCTCCGGACCTTGGGTTTGTTGCTTTTACTTTTACCGTTCATTAACCGACCTGTCTGGTATGGTAGGACTATGAGGAACGATTGTTCCATCCAGTATAGCTCGATCCGTTCATTACGATAGGCAAGCCTGATCACCACCTCAAGGTAGCAACAACGATCGGGCGGGTAGAGAAGATGATCGCGTAATATCGTGGATTGGTTAAAGTTAGATATTAGCGCCATTGAATACCGGCCAGCTCAGTGGTCTAGAGACCAAAGGCTCTGGATTTGAATCCCACGTGGTGGGATCGTGGATACACACTGCTAAGGAGTCCCGTACTAGGACGAAACGACCATCTAATACTTCTAGGTTTTCAATGGTGGTCTAACACCAATTGGTTCATGATCTCAATCAAAAACATACAAATGTATTAGTGTCTTATGATTCAAAATATCTGGTCAAAGTACTCATCAGAAAATTAATTTATGAAAAAATAAACAGTGATTGATCAGTCGTGGTCACAAATATTAATGGGGAGATTCGAACAAGCTAGAACCATCCCATTGCACGAATTATTAGTTATATGCATAATATGATAACTTTTGAAACAAACGCTACTAAGTTAGAGTCCTGGAATGAATGTGATCCGGTTACATCCAGCTGATCAGTTTTGAATGGAATAAAAAGTGCTTTCATCAACCATCTCTACTCAGTAAAGTCCTATACAAAAGTAGACTAACAAGGATATACAATTGACAGTATTCTTTATAACACGGCAAAACTATAATCTACGATCTTTGAAAGAATTTTAAGTAAACTTGAATCATATTAGCCAATCAGAAAACTGGTAGTTTAGAGTAAAACCGTATTTTACAAAACCAGAAAATTTGAGTGCATACACTTCTTTTAAATTATTTGAAATATTTTTAAGGTTAGAAAGAGGTTCAGAGGTTCTGAAATCATAATGCATATGATAGAGGGACTCATCCATATGGCATCATAGTAGTCGACCTCCGGAGATATGATAAAGTTGCAAAAACTATTTCATCCTCGACCACATAGCTTCAATATTGCTTTTGTGCACTACGGTTGCTGGGTTTACAAAGTGCTACTTATGGACAACGACACGATGAGCAATAACCAAATGTATGTAGGCATCGGTACGCTCTCCAATCATCCGTATATATTGTAGTACACGGCTGTACATATTCCCGTTTACTTGGTATTTTTGTTGGAGCCTTTCGGTTTCGAACTCGTTATAAGTGTCCTTTTTGAGATGACCTGTCGTATATCCCAAGGATCTGCGAGATATATTTATGGAAGTGCTACTTATCCAGTCTTCTCTAACACTCCGTCCTCTGTTAAATTTTTGCACTTTCTGACAAGTGTTTCGCCTATTTCAACGATTCTTCCGACCCCCCTAAACAACTCGTATAATCTTGTCATTCTCACTGAGCATATATCTCTACGATGCTCATACCACTGAACAGCTGAAACTTCAATAACATCTGCCAATGCTGCAGCCAGTTTCCAACAATCATCATAATTTGTCTAAGTCTCAATGTAGATTGGGTGAAGCAGACGTCTTCCTCCAACATATATTACATCGAAAAAGCATGATCACGGTAGTCTGCACAAGGTCCACAAATCATTTGATTAACATAATCACAAAGAAAGGAAATTCTTAGTGGTCTCATTTGTTGTGAACCATTTGCTGTGAACCGATCGTGCATGAGTATCAGGCACTAAAATTGTCGCCGTGACTTTGAAATCCCTCAGACGCTTCTGATTGGCTCCTCCTTAAATTATAGTCTCGCCATTCTATGAGTTAGGAATTATCAAGCAATTATGTCTTACAGGTTGCAACATGGATTAATTTTAGTTAGACAACTGTTGAAAAACCTGGATCACTGGATAATTGTATCTTTGTAGTATGAGACTCCTCAATAGTGTACATCCGCGACCCCGTTGGAAATCGAGTCCAAGATTTTTAAGTCTCGCAGCTCGAGCTTGACCTTTAGATCTCTGTGCTTCTATCTTATGAACGTCTCCAATGATTTAAGTAACTAAGCCTATCTTGACTCACTTTTAAATTACATTATATAAAATTAGTTTATTTTCTTGTTATACATGTCAATCACATCCCAATATGATATTGTTGAGTGGTTGAATTCGAATCCAAATGATCTTCCTTTCTTAAATTCGGTCAAATTACTGTATAACTTTAGAATTGAATTAAAACTTTTTAATATATTTGTTAATGTTTCACTTACTTGAGTATACACTAATGGAATCATAATACTACTGTAAACTTGTAAATTCTGCATACTTTGTCTAACTCTACCAATATTCTATAAAATAAGACAGAAGATAAAGATAAGAGATCATGTTAATTATGAAATTTGACATTAGTTATTAAGAATGTGATCATAGATTAATATTTGTTTTATGGATTATGAATTACTGTTCGAACGTTGAGCATGTCGATTGCTTCATTTATCTTGAGAGTCTCATCAGACTTTGCGGTCTGGTGTGTGACGAAATCTCAGCATGGATACAGAAGGCTCGGCTAGCTTCTGCCAACTTGCATCATTTATAACATAGGTGAGATATTCGTCTACCAACCAAAATACGGGGTTACTGCGCAGCAGTTCGTTCCGTCCTATTTTATGGCTGTGAAACATGGTAGGTTTCTTCGAAGGATTGCTCGTATATCCTAGGACTATGGAGTAAGTAATACAATTGTTAGGAAATGAGTAATAGGTAAGGATGGCAAATCAATTGATGAAGTATTGAAATTTTGTCAGTTGAGATGTCTGGGACATGTGTTACGTATGCCCAACCACCGACTGCCCCGACGTTTTATGATGTAGGAGTAGGTTGGAAGAAAACTATGGGCGGCAAGACCAAAACACAGAACAAATCCGTGTAGTCACTAACAAGTGAGCTCCGCCATGTTGGTAGGTGTATACTAACCGGTTGAAATTCGCGAGACGATAGCAACCGATGATTGGAGATTTTGAATTATATGGCTCAAAATCATTTGTAATGGCGCAGGTACATCTACTGTTTGGGTTCTGCCAAATTCTAATCTCCTGAATTCTTCATGTCCTTTATTTTTTCTCTTTTCAAATTTATTTTACTGGATTATACTACTTTAATAACCCTGTTCTTAAATTATACTCAGTTTATTATTCAGCGTCTCCCACGTTCACCGTCAATTTTTGGCTTGATCTTGTATAATTGTTATTTCCTATTTTATAGTGTGATGTGGTCTGTTTGGCGGGTATGTAAACTAAGTATGTTTGAAATATATGATTCATATCCGAGATGCTGAGCTAGGTATTCTCGACTTAACTGACATGGCTAGGAGGAAAATGACCAAAAAAGACGTTAGGCTGTTTATACCTGTTGATACATCATTGGTTTGTCACAGTAGTAAGATTAATTAAGTTATATTTCAATTGGCAAATAAGTCACATGATAATTAACCGTGCTTAAAGTCATAACAAACTTCAGTTTGATATTTCGACTAATTTTAGAATTATTTAATAATTTAATAGTTGAATTCATGAGTCCATTGAAGCTGGACCACCGTAGAAAACCTGGAAGCGTTGAACTACCGTTTCATCCTATTGTGAGACTCCTCATCAATGCGCATTTACGATTTAATGCTTCCAGGTTTTTTATGATAGTTTAGCTTTAAATGAATCATGAATTCAACTATTAAATTATTATAATCTCCACAAAACCCCTTCTTTGATTATAATTATTTAACAAAGATTTTAAATAGAATAAAATAATAAACATACTTCAACAGTATAAAATGCTACTTTAGGATCATCAATATAACCACTTTGTAATGCTTTTAATGTTAATCTTTGTGCCCATTGTATAGGTATCCAATATTCTGGTGTATAATTAGTTTTTGTACGTCGAAACCAATCAGCTGCTATACGTTCAAATGATGAAATTTCTTTTTCAGTAATTAATACACCAAATGAACTTTTTACTTCTATTAAAATAAGGAGAGAGATCAATTGAAAAACAGTAAAGAATATTCATTTATTTATTCTTATTTAGGATTGTAATTGATTAGTCTCTTGTTGGTATATATACATCCTGTGAGGATTGCCTTGATATAACTTTAAGTCATAAGCTTTCTAAGTAAAGATGGATAGTGACTAATAGTGGAAACCAGTTTGATGCGCGTCGTATCCTATTTGGGACTTTTCAGCTGAATGTACTTGTATCCCAGAGTTGATGTTTACTCTGGGACTCAAACCAAGAACCGTTCGCTTCAAACTCTATCATGTTATCCACTTAGCTAATTAGTCCTTATAGCCATTTGTTTGTGCAACGGGGTGAAGTTTAAATTCGCTGGGTGTTGTTTTACTTTTATCTTTTTATTGTTATTTAGGACTGAAATTGATTAGTCTCTTGTTGGTACATGTGAACCCTGTGCGGATTGCCTCGATATTAGCCTTAATTTACAAACATGGTAAGTAAAGAGGGATAGTGTATAGCGATGAAATCCAGGACGCACGTTTCGTCCTGCTAGACACTATCTATCTTCTCATAAATGATTGAGCATTTGATTATTATGAAAATATTATTGATGGATTATAGTGAAAATAATAGTAGCATAATAACTAAAGATGTCATCAACTATCTGTTAAAAACATATACATATTTACAGTTGATTATTTAATGAATAGCGACCAAAGTCTTGTGCCTTTAGTGTTAATCGAATTCTGTTGATCATATTTGTCCACTGTTATAAATGAATTGACATCTTATGCAGTTTACTGGGTTATTAAGTTGCAAAACGTGGTCGATAGAAAACTTTGGACTTAGGTTTTGTGTTATTTAGCACTTTCTATCAATGCCTACTCATAATATATGAAAAAACCAATGCATTTTAGTTGACTCAAACTTTATCATCCACCGGAAAACATCAGTTTTCTCAGGATTATAGGTCAGCTTTGGTGGAGAATGAAAAAGAGGAAGAATCGAAGGTCTATTGTTTCTTACAATTGATTGATCACTGGGTGATGACCAATGTCATGTACGTCAGGTCCTTCTGAGGACAGATCGGATCCTATCGACCAAGTTGCAATGTGGCTACTTGTATATGTGACTCAACATTTCGTGCACTGTGTTGAAATAAGTTGGTGGTTGGAGGAAGTAAACACGAAACCCTGGACCTAGGTTTCATGCTACTTGGCACTCGTCAGCAAGGTGTACCTGATTCATGATGAAATCCTTAAATCTAATCCTTAATCCTAACCATCAACGGTAAATAAAAATTCGGCGAGGCTCTAATTTATGGACGACCTTTGAACGAACCTCCAGTGACCTTGAGAAATATTAGTCAATCAGCAAACAGTCAGTATAGAGTAAAAAATATATATTATACAAAACCAAAGAAATAAAGTGGATAGACTTCTCATAGGTGGTTAAAAAACTTGTCGATGTTAGAAAGAGGTTCAGAGGTTCTGAAATCGTAATGCAGCAGTAGAGGAAATCATCCATACAGCTACAGAATAGTCGGCCTCTGAAGCCATGACAAAGTCTCAAATACACTTTGTGCCTCGACCACATAGCTTCAATATCGTTTATGTTCATTCGGTTGCTGAGTGCACAAAATGCCACTTGAGGATAACAACACGATGCACATAACCAAGCCTATGTACGAGTCTGTACGCTCTCCAAACATCCGTATATATTGTAGTACCTGGCTGCAACCAGTGTTACTGGTGTTTTTATTATCCAGTTCACAATAATTGTCATAATTTGCCTTAGTTAGGAATTATATATAGGGTTTCCATCACAAACTAACATCAGCTATAATGCCAAAAATCTATTTAGCCAAATGGATGATAGGCTTTCGCGCCCAAATCCGAGATCTGTTATCTTATACCTCATTGATTCGTCCAAAAATTATAGTCTCGCCGTTTTATTTGTTATAACCGCTCAATTATCACGTTTTGTACAAAATTCCCTGTGAACTGATCATACGTTAGCATTAAGCACTGAATTTGACACCGTAACCTTGAAATCTTTAAAATGCTTCTGATTGACTCGTCCATAAATTAGAGTCTTACCGAGAATTCTAACTGCTTTATAACCCTCATTTAGTCTATTCTCAAGGTTACTTTAGCGTCGGTCAAATATCATCCTTAAATTATAGTCTCACCCTAATGGCATTCAAATGTATAGAACCGCACAGTTACAAAATTAGAAGAAGTGATTGTTGAGTAAGAATAAAAAATCTACACAAAAATCATGAGTATTCATAGATATTAGCTTTAGCTATAAAATCATTATAATCCAATCAATCCACAAGGAGGCAAATCACGTTTGTATTCTAGAAAACTGTGTCAGATTGTGATTGAATGTAAACTCTTTGGATCTTTTAGAGTCTCTGAAAGCTTTATCATACTTCTTGAATATCATCTTAACACTTCTAAACATGATCTGTTTAAAAAAGATCACATTAGTTTCTTATATCATTTCATTATGAAATTTCTCTTTATTATCATTATAAATATATATTAAATACAAATTCAAATGAATTATAATTATTTAATTACTTTGATCTTGATTAAGTGCTCTTAACATTTCTCTTAATTCAACAACATCAGCTGCTTCAAATGCATCAGGTAATGCACCATATTCTTCATCAGTAGCTAATGGTGCTAATGGTGTATGAACATCTGGTGTATTAGGTGTTTGTGGTTGAATAAATATATTATTTAATGGACTATCTAATTTTGTTTGTATTGGATATTGTGATTGTGATAATTGTTGTTGTAATATTGATTTTGATGGTGATGTACGTACAACTTCACTTGCATCAATTGACCATGGTTGACATGTATTTCTACTTATTAAATGTTTATGATTAGTTGATTTACGTTTAGGTAATACAGGACCTAATGCACTTGGTAAACTACCAATATCATCATTTTTAATAAAACGACATGCAATTTGATCAGATATACGTTTCATCATTAATACCCAAGCTAAATTCATATAACGCATAATAGTTAAACGAATTTTACGTGAACCTTCTTCATTTTTTGCATTAATTGATGACTAGAATGAAAAAAAATAATATAAAAAGAAAAAAAATGTTATCAAGTAGTAGTTGGTTGGTATCTTGGGAAGATGATCATTTGGTTAAAAGTATTATATAGAGAGATGATTGAATACATCTAGCTGACGAGCCCCAGATAAGACGAAACACCCATTCTGAATTTTATTGTTTAGACATCATTCATCTTTATTTACGAAGTGGTTACTTATTAGGAATGTAAAACAGCATTATTGTATTACTATATTTTCAACCATCAACACTAGGGTACTTGGTACCTGTGTAGTTGTGCCAAAGGTTTGAGCTGTATTATTCAAAGCCTATATATGATGACTGGTTTTGCTGTGAAGCGGGATTGAGCTGTACTATTGAGGTTATAAAGTTAAAGTTTGAGCGGTGTCTAGTTCTCTTGTTAAATAGGATTTAACTGTATTATTTGGGTTGTTACATGATAGTTTGGATGGTGTCTGGTTCTTCTGAAAACCAATGTAAAGTTAACCTGGCCCACAAGGATATATTATATAACTAACTTATATAATTTCAGCATATCCTATTTAATTATTCTAATCAGTAGTAATATTTATTATTCTTAAATATTTAGGGGATAAAAGTTCAAGTTAAGTTTACTTCTATTTCTGCCCCCAAATGCCCTGGTATGGCCGAGAGTGGGGGGAGTCCGCTCCTCCTCTCGAAATGCTCTCACATGGTCACGCGTATACAGCCCCTGCCAGGGAAGTCCTACTCACTGCCTTCAAGTGGCATTACTGTTGTTTATGAAAATGAGAGGACGAAAAGCGAATGTCTGACGCTATAACCGGACCCCAAACCAATGGTGCACATGGGCTCCAGTATCCTGCGGGAACAAATGGCGTATGAACAAATCGTTGGTCACCGGCTACCATGGGACTGCATCTCCTCACGATGCTCCACTGCCTTGTGGATCAGACGTTCAGGTCAAAGGCTCGGGGTGTGGCCCGCTAAGAAGACCACATGCTTTGGTTTGGGCACCCGGGCAGTATCACAGCCCTCACACATATCAAATGAGATCTGTGTGGCGTATATGTATTTGGTGCCTTCTTGTACCGATATCTATGTGTTAAAATAAAATAAAAACTTCTATTTCTAGTTTAACTAGTATCCAACTGAGATTGGGATAGATTAATTCAAACAAAGAAAACGTTCAGTAGTCATTTAGGAAATGATGTTGGCAATAATATATTACGAATATTCTTGGAATCTACTACTCCCTTATTGTAAGGCAGTGAGTGAACAATCAAATAGTGTTGAAAGAGATAAAGAATTTCCAGGAGTCCTAATGAGAAACATTGACTAGTGGAGTTCAACCGGGTCTGTTGTGAAATAATAATTCATTGAAGACAATAATGAATGTGTTGCTTAATTTTGTGGATTAGTTGAAGTTAGACATTAATACCGTTGGATATTGGCCAGATCAGATGTCTAGAGGTTAAGTGTTCTCGCGCAAGACCTAAGGTCTTAGGTTTGAATCCCGTGAGGTGGGATTGTGGATGCGCATTGGTGAAGAGCCCTACAATAGAACGAAACGGCCGTTCAGTGCTTCCAGGTTTATCATGGTTATCTAGCTTCGATTGAATCATGAATTCAACTATAAAATTACATAGTTAGCAAACACTACTATACTTAACAAGACGTACGATTATTTATAATTGTACTGTAATCTAGTTTTTCTATATTTACGATGTACTATTTAATGTCTGTTGACCTAGTTTATACTTGTTCATCCTTTAAGTACTGACCTACTTCTATCGAACAAGTTGCAACAGTCAAGGTTCCTTGATGACTGTTTCCACTGAAATAACATTTCAGTATAGTGTAGTTATACTAATAGCTCAAGTGAAACTTTAAAGATAGAATTCGATCAACGTTAAAGAATAGGTTTGGAATAACCTTGATCACCATTAAATGATCAATCAATAAGGAATATTTCAATTCAACAGGAGGATGAATAAAATATGAACAAATCAGTGATAATATATTTGAACTTCTCTTGTAATTATACAAGCTTCTTATCTTTTCTTAATAGATCTAAACTTATTCATTTGTCTTAATGATTAATTATTATCTATGTTCAATAGACTTCATGAAAAATAACAATTAAAATGTTTCTTCACAGTTGAAATCACTAGTCGATCTAAGCTAGACTGCCATCGAAAACCTGAAGGCATAGGACGACCGTTTAACCCTAGTATGAGACTACTCAGCAGTGCATACCCAGGACTTATGTATCACGCATGAACGTCTAACCTCTAAACTACTGGGCCGGTATTTAACGGTGTTGATCTCTCATTTCAATCAATCCATAATCGTGAGTAACCCTTCATCTATTGTCTTCAGTGGATATCTGTCTCATATACGACATGGATTAGATTCCATTGGTCATGGTTTATCACTAAGATTCCATGTGTTACATCTTGTAGCTTGTCATTAACGAGTATATGATTATTGTCAGTATGAAGGATTTGTGGAGAGTGTAGTATTTTTACAGTCACACGTGTTGTTCATATTTCCTTCAAAGTGAATGAAGCAGGAATGCAAAATTTATTCCAATAAATATTGTTTAATAGTTGACATCATGAGTTAATCGTAACTAGACCACCATGGAAAATTTGAAAGCATTGGACGACTTTTTAGTCATATTGTGGAACTCCTGAGCAGTGCGTATCCACGACCCCGCCTCTCAAGATTTCAACACAGGACCTATCGGTCTCGCGCGCAAACGCTTAACCATTAGACCACTGAGCTAGCCGGCATCCAACGATGTTAACGTATAACTTCAACCAACCCATGAAATTGAACGACACATCTCACAACAGACCCGGCTGAACTATATTAGCCACTGATTTTCACTGGCATTCCAGGAAGGACCTTTTGAAACCAGTCACTAGTGAGCATACGATGATTATTATCAGAAGGGGTCTTGTGGGGAACCTAATAATTGTATAGATAAACTCATGGGTTCATAAATAGCTAGACAACTATGAAAAACTTGGAAGCACTGAACGGTTGTTTCACTCTATTGTTCGACTTCCCATCAATGAGCATCCACGATCCCGCCTCGCGAGTTTATCTTGAATTATTCTAAATGTAATGTTACCATTCAATTTACAATCCAAATGTTTTTCTGAAACAGTTCGGTTCATCATGAATACAAAAGAATAGTTGATTAGAATTGTTATGAATAGTTTTTATTTAGGAAGTTGGCTAGTATCCTATGAAGTTATTTCAATAAAACTAGATTATTTCAACACTTAGAAGTTTCTACCTCTAATTCGTCTCTTTTATTGATTAAGTCTTATAGTTACCGTTGGTTATGATTCATTGAAAAATTGTTGAATATTCAAATGACCTTGAATAGAGTATCGAACGTTTACAGACATAAAATAATTGCATCAAGTGAAAAATTGTGTGAATATTTTTGGCAATCACCTTTTTTTGATTGTCTAATCAATATAATCACATTTTTTTGGTTGAGATCATGAACCGATTGATGTTAGACTACCGTTGGAAATCTGGAAGCACTGGATGGCCGTTTCGTCCTAATGTGGGACTCCTCCGTGGCAGTGCGCATCTACGATACCGCTCGCGGCATTCGAACTCAGGGCTTTCTGTCTTGCGCGCGAACGCTTAACCTGTCGACCACAGAGCTTGTCGACCATCTTCCATTGTACTGAGGTAGATACCTATCTCTATCCGACATGGAATAGCTCCACTGGTCATGGCTTCTCACTAGAACTCCGAGGATTTCCTCACAAAGCTATTCACTAGTGAGCACATATTAATTATCAGTATAAGAGTTGTGGTGATCACTAAGTATTTCTTGATTGAGATCATGAACCGAGCGAACGGGATCGTGGATGAGAAGTTGCACAATAGGAAGAAACGGCCGTCCAGTGTTTCCAGATCTCTAACGGTGGTCTAACATCAATCAGTTCATAATCTGAATAAAAAGAAACTTAATAAACTCCACAATCCCTATACTGATAACACCTATTTTGTATTAAACGTGTAACAAACTGTCATGTCAACATATGTATAGTTAGTATGTGTTGTGACGTACAGTGTCCAAAATTCGATACTGATACACGTTTTGCTACATGCTAACCCTCTTTTACCCCCCCCTAAAAAAAGACCATTTGGACAAGAACATCACAGTGAACGAGAAAGTGTATCGAGCTACCGAATTAAAAATATACAAATACTCATTTATTTGTATATTACTCTAATCTTTAGGAAATGGAATCATTTCTTATCCAATCAAATACATTTATTATTTAGTTTACATCTGATTATTATCGATTGATCTTCTCATTATTGATTTTTCATATCACCATGGAAATTATTGATTTATTATTAATAAATTATTTATATAAAATAACTTACAGCAATTTGTAGTGCAATTTGATTCATCCATGGTATATATAAATACATTTGATACCAACGTGATATTATTCCAGATACAAAAAATCCCAATAAAAATGATATAGGTATATCACCTTTAGTTCTAACACAGAATTCAACAATTTCTTCAAATATTCTATAAATATCAATAATATTAAATAAGAAATTATTAAGTATTTAATAACATGGAAACTATGATAAGAATACAAATTATGAATGACCTTCAAGTGACGCTCAAGTGACCTTGAGAGAGTTTACCTAATCACTAGGAGCATATGTGTGTTATAAACTATTATGAAGAATTACGATTGGGATTTATAGTTGATGGTTGTGATTAGAAATTAGATTTAGAGTTTTCGTTATCATGAATTGACATCAGCTATAATGTCATGAATCTATTTAGCCAAATGGATGAGTGAATTTTGCGCCAAAATCCATGAACTACCAACTGAAATCTGATTGGTTCATTCATAAATGGTAGTTTCGCCAATATGTAATATCGGTAATGTATTATGGTGTATGCTACTTATATTCATAGATATAAGTAGTATATGACATCGATCTGATATAGAATGTCTGTTAGAAGTAAGTTGTGATGATTAAACTAAAGCAAACAGAAAGGGAAACATAATGGACTTGAGAATTGAAAGAAATGTAAAAGATGTAAATAACAACTGATGAAAGATGTGCAAATGAAGTATTTAATATGCATATCGTGATGAACCAATCGATTTATACCTGGAAGCACTTAACAACCGATTTATCCTATTGTGGGACTCTTCATCAATGTGCATCCACAATCCCACCTCGCATGATTCGAACCTAGGACCTATCAGTCTTTAGCACGAATGCTTAACCTCTAGTTCCTTGGATGATTTTCATTATAATTATGAATTTATAAAATAATAATAATAATAAAAGAATGATACTTACACTTTTTGCTTGTCATTCATTGCAAACCGATAAGATAAATTTAAAACATAATAAGCTGAGATGTAGATTAATAAGTCTACCCATACCAATTTGTACAAACTCCCTTTCCATCTGAAATGATTAATTAATGTGAAACAAAGTGTTATTTAGTAAAGAAAAAATGTGAATAAATTGTTTATTTGTACTTAAGAATTCAGTGAGATTACGAGATTCAACCCTTTAGTTATAGACAGTATAAGTAAATTAATTGTATTCCAACTAACTGGATGACGGTCGACAGTGTCGTATTACCAAGTCCATAAAGCTAGCCGGCTAGGAATTTACTTAGATCAATAGTCCTATCAACTTGAATATATATTACTCTGAACCTAATGTTATCCTACTGAAAGACACTCATCTGATTATTTCGATGGTATTGTTTCATGGTTGTAGTATTGATTTAGTGGGTTGAAATCTTTGAAAGTATTTCAACTTTGATGTAACTCTTCTTAGTTATATATGTTGTCTATATCTAAAACATTGAGTCTAACATTACAACTAATAACCTAGTGATTATTCAGTATGTTTAAATTACTTCGAAAGCACTTGTGGTCATATATTAACTGGCATAAGAGTAGGTAGGAAAAAAGCTAGGGTGGGGCAAACCAAGAAGTCGGATCAGTCCATAAAGACATTGATTATTGAACTGAGCCATGTAGGTACGTGCATACCATACAGTCATGGTCCATGTGATTATCGTAACCAGTGGTAGGAGAATTATGGTTCATAATTGTTTGTGATAGGGTAGGTATATTCACGCTTCGTCTTCATCTAGATCCCAATTTTCTAAATTCTTCATAAATCTTTTATTATTTCACTAGTTTATACTTTCATGAATCATATCTTCGACGCCTGATATCTTATATTACTATTATTGCTGTTACTAATTCTATTACTCTAGAATTTGCCAATAGGATATGGTAGATTAAACCAATGTGTACATGTGCTAAGTTCTATATTGTATTTGAGTGGCTAACTAGCAACTTAAAAGTGTTATCAATCCCTGTAGATCATATATGTTACGTTCGCTACTTGATTAACGTAGAATATGATATACAACTAAAGGCAGTTGAATGCATAGAACCCTACAGTCACAAAATCAGAAGACAGAAAAAATCGGAAGAAATGATTGTTGAGTAAGAATAAAAAATATACAGAAAATCATGAGTATTTATAGATATTAGTCTTATCTATAACATCATTCTAATCCAGTCAATCCACAAGGAGATAAGTTAGGATACCTTTCAATCATATCATGTCACTTTAATATTCTAGAAAAGTGTATCAGGTTCTGATTGAATATAAACTTTTCGGCTCCTTTAGGATCTCTGAAGGCTCCGTGATGCTTCTCGAAGTCGTTTCAACAATATTTAAAAGTCAAAGCTGTTCGCTTACACTTAAAAATTCACTATGAATTTGGTTAAAGTATTTTGCTAGTTTAGTCAAATTTATTTTTTATTTGTTTAAACAAATAAACATTGGTACAACGAAGCATCAACTGTATATAATCCACATAAATTATTCGGTTTGTTTGTGGACTGTGATACTACCAGGGTTCCCAGAACGTAGTCAGTGGTTTTATTAGAAGGCAATACTCGGAACCGTCGACCTGAATGTCTGATTCACAAGGCAGTGGAGTAACGTCAGAAGATGCAGTCCCACGGTATCCGGTCACCAACTATTGATTCATAAGCCATTCGTTCATTCAGGATCCTGAAACCCATATGCACCATTGGTTTGCAATGAGGGTTTCCCAACTCCCCTAAATGAACTCTCCGTGTTCACCAACCGGTTAGAGCGCTGGACATTCACTTTTCATCCTCTCAATTTCGTAAACAACAGTAATGACACGAGAAGGCAATCAATCGGACTTCCCTGGCAATGGTTATATGCATGTGTCCATGTAGAAGGATTTGGAGATATATTTGAGGGCACTACTAAAAAGTACTTTAAATCAATACACATGAAAATGTATCAGTTATTGAGATAAATGACCCACATATGTGTAAGTAATTCATTTTTGTTGTCATGTAAATAAACTGCCTACACCAATAAATAAGTATACTCACATATAATCACAGTGTGTGTGTGTGTAAGAGAGAGAGAGAAAGAGCTTGAATTTAAAGGTAGAATCAATGAACTAAATACGAAAAATTTTGAATCGATTAACTTGAATGTTACAAAGATGAACTGATAACATAGAGATTCTGATGTTTATCAAGATGGCAACTTCATAGATTGTCTAAAATTTATTATGGTTATTCGTTTATTGACTTTTATCAACAAAGTATATTTACAATTTAAGAGTGTATAATGTCTGTTTATTGGTTGAATAGAAATAATTCAAAAGTATGAGTGTTAACTGTAATAGTTCACAACTGATCCTACGTATGATGGAATCGAACTTGAGGAGTTATAAGGTGTTATTTTGTCTATGGTTAAAACTATATTTATATTTTTTTGATCAGTTGTCTTGTACTGAACGATGTATATGCTAAATACCAAGAAATATAAAATAGACTACAGGTTGATCTTTATTAATATACAATGTGTGAGTTAGATGTAAAAGATAAGGCTCGAACCCAGTACTGTTCGCTTAAACCTGGGTTCGAGTCCCGTAGTGTACATCAACTCTAGGATGCCGGTACATCCAGTTGATGAGTCCCAAATAGGACGAAACGCGCGTCAAACTGGATTCCACTGTTAGTCACCATCCATCTTTGCTTAAAAATTTCGCATATCTTGATGAAAATGTTATACTACTGTAGATTAGTGAGCAAACAACTGAACCTTCAACTTATCCGGTGGCCAATTTAAGAGCAAATACAAAACTTGTGGATTATAGCTGAATGTATAAATTCCTATTCATCAACTTGGTTCCAGTGAAAACCTTCAAAGTCTTAAAGAACTATGAATATATCACAAAGGTAAACAAGATATGATCGGAAATGTGAGTACAGGAAAATATTCATCCATCAAATGTATGTAGTAAATGAATCCAAGCTATTGGGTATCACATGAAAACAGTCTCCAGCAAGCCTTTCTGAATTACTTTGGATTCAAAAAGTGTACAGCTCATTCCATACCTATGGAAACTAATTACCAACTGATTAATCACAGATTAGATGGCTTGAGTATCATTGCACAATGTCATCTGCATCCATGAATTCGTAGTTTTTCTCTAGACAACAGATCCACACTATTATTACGAACTTCAATAACGGCTATTGCTAGAAGGATTTCTGACATCCAGTGGCAATACAATGCTATTAATACGAGGATTCAGTAACGTACAATGTTGATAATTCAACTGATGTCATCATCTCAAAACACTGACTTTGGTGGCTTAGATATATGCTACGAATTTCATTGCACCAAATTCCACATTGTGTATTATTAGCCGATGCTGGGGACTAGTTAAAAAAGAGCAGTAGTCAGTTTACTATACAGTGCTGGATTATGAGATATAGTTGTTCAGGATTGAAATATTTCAGTCCTTCACCACTCTCTCGTTGACTTTCTAAAGATAGTGCAATTCAGTGTCTTGAGACATTATCAAGCTAGTGCAGATCTTCTAGTAATTTTCTTTTCCTTTCTTTATATAAGTGATAGGAATGTATTAAAATGAAAAAAACCTTTCTGATTATATTGTTCTGGACTGATTCTTCTATTATCTACCATACAATTATTCAATTATTTTTCTGATTGAGATCGTGAATTGATCAATGTTAAACCACTATTGAAAACCTAGTAGCACTGGATGGTCGTCTCGTCCTAGTATGGAACTCTTCAACAGTGAACATCAAGGATCCCGCATACGGGATTCGAATCCAGGACCTTCAGTCTCGCATTCAAGCTGTCAACCACTAAGCTGGCTGGTACCCCATTGTGTTAATGTCTGATCTCAACCAATTCAAGATATTGCGTGATCATCTTCCGTTGTCTGAGTTAGATACCTGTCTCCATCCGACATGGATAGTTTTTTATTATGTCCATCCTCCTTATCCTATCTTTTCAAAGTTTTAATATTCATAGTTGAAATCATGATTTGATCTAATTTAAACTACCATTAAATACCTGGAAGTACTAAAGAGTCTTTTTATTCTAGTATGAAACTCCTCAACAGTCAGCACTCATGATCATGCATTCTGAATTAGTTTAAATAAAAAATAAAATAAAATAAAAACATAAATACATACACAACTGTTAATTTCTTGTAAGGGGAACTATTAAGTAATACTTTTATATTATACTTACTTTTTAAGAATTTTTAATAAAACAGAAGCACCTCTTCCATCAGATAATTCATCTGCATAAGCAGTTGGCATTATATGAATATATGTATGTATGTGGGTGGGTAATGAGTAGATGGATTGTTGGGTGGGTAGGTGGGTTGGTTGCTGGGTGGGTTGGTTGGTAACTATAATATCTATTATGTAATTGTCGTTAAGACTTAATAATCTATTAAATTTCTATCTAACATTTCTATTTGATTATTATTATTATTATTACTGATAATCATGTAAAACTGACTGATCTTATAAAATTACAATTTATATATTCGACTATTTATGAATTATTCATTGTGAAATTGTCTATTCGAGTTTTTTTTTTATTACTAAAAAGGACATGTTGAATATAACTGATCTAGTTGTGTTTAGTTTGTTTATTTCAAAATTGTAACCTTTGTATTTGTGAATGTTTGTTTGTTTGTGTGTGTGTGTGTACATGTGTGCATGTGTGTTAATAGGTTCCTACTCATTCAAGACTATCGTATCTTATTTATGTATGTTTAAAGAATTGAACAAAATTTGTCTCATTAATTGTATTTAGAATGTATACAAACTGTGTGTCGAATGAAGAAAGGAATAGAAAAGTCTAATTTATAGAATACTAACATTGCCCCCCCCCAGTGATCTGGTACAACCGAGGGTGGGGAAATTCAGCTCTAACTTCTCCAGATGCTCTCACATGGACACGTGCATACAACCATGGTCAGGGAAGTTTTACTCAATGCTTTCTCGTGGCATTAATGGTGTTTATGAAATTGTGAGGACGAGAAGCGAATATAC